GTTTTTGTTTTGTTTTGAATTAGAAGTCTTGTTCTGTCACCCAGGCTAGAATATGGTGGCACAATTATGACTTACTGCAGCCTTGACCTCCTGGGCTCAGGCAATCCTTCTGCCTGTTTCCTGAGTAGTTGGGACTATAGACATACACCACCATGCAAAGCTAATTTTTTTTATTTTTTGTAGAATAAGGTCTCGCTATTGTTGCCCAGGCTGGTCTAAAATTCCTGGACTCAAGCAGTCTTCCTGCCTCAGCCTCCCAAAGTGCTAGGATTACAGGCATGAGCCACCATAACTGGCCCTATAATTTTTATTTGCTTTCTCTTTTACAGATTTTAATTTTCTGGTGTAATTCACCACTTTTTCACCTAGTTTATTCTTATATTAATTGCACTCTGTTAAAGTCTAATTTATATTTGATAATTCAAATACCTATATTACCTGTGAGGCTACTACTTTTATTTTATTTTTGTTTGTTTTTCATCTTGGTTCTGTTTAATAGCATTGTGTATTTGTTTGCTAGGACTGTTGCAAAGCTGTCCCCTAAACTGGGTGGCTTAAACAATAGAAATTTATTCTCTCCCAGTTCTAGAGGCTAGAAGTCGGATCAAAATATCAGCAGGGTTAGTTCCTTCTAAGGGCTATGAGGGAAGGATTTCTTCCAGGTCTCTCTCCTTGGCTTGTAAATAGCCATTTTCTCCTTATGTGTTTGTATAGTCTTCCCTCTATGTATGTCTCTGTGTCCATATTCTCCCCTTTTATCAGGACACCAGTCACATTGGATTAGGACCTACCATGATAATCTCATTTTAATTTGATTTTCTCTGTAAAATCCTGTCTCCAAATAAGGTTATATTCCAAGGTGCTCTGACAATTTGTGTGTGTGTGTGTGTGTGTGTATGTGTGTGGAACATAATGTTACCCGTAACACATGATAAAGTTTGACAGCATGAAAACATGTAGGAACTCTGGATAATTCTGTTATCTTCCAAAGATAATTCTTTTTAGCATTGATATATAATTAGAACAGGAAAATCATTTTCATACATTCAGAAAACTAGATGAAATTACTAAATTTTTAAAGGACTTTTCTATTTTTATGCTTCCCAGGGTTTCACCGCTCAATGATCCTGACTGAAAGTCATGGTTATTTATTAGAATCCCAACATTTTGCTGTCTGCTTAGCTTCATTTTTTATTATTCCAGTATATTATCCCAACTTCATTATAATCCTGATAGTTTTGCTTGATTTTCAGCTTCTTGGAGTTGTGTTATGCCTTATCTCTTCAGTTATAGACCTGTACTGCTTATCCTTGACTATTTCAGGAATAAAAGCACAACACAGTTATAGGTTTTTCTTTACTTCCTTCTCTCTGGGATGTCGTCCCCTCAAATCCTATCTGCTTTGATAGCCCTAGATCTCAATTTTTTTCTCTTTGAAAGGCTGATACAGCTTTTCTTAGCTTCTCTGATTAGCAGTCACTTTCTACAGAGCACCACCGCCTCTCTCTCTCATTTTATATCAATGCGTCAAGGAACAAATAAAAACACTTGTTTCATCTCAGTGAGTTTTTCATCTCTTTGGGATTTGAATCTTTAGTTCCTAGTCTTTATATAATGTTTCTTGCATTTTACCCAGCTGTTCCATTGTTTTGTGGGCTTTTGTAAATGCCTCCCAATTTGGCTTTGATTTTGGTATAAATTTGAAATAACACATAGTTGGTATGTTTGAAGCCACAGACAATGTACTCACTGTCTTTTAGAAATATTCTCCTATATAGGAAATACTTGAAACTTAAATTTCCAGTAAACAATTTTTTACACAATACATACAGATATTCTGTGGTATATACTTGTACTTAACATCTATTTATTGTCTATCTGAAATGCAAATTTAAATGAATATCTGTATTTTATCTGAAACTCTTGCTCCTTTTGCAAGAATGAATAAACAATACAACATACACATCATAAAAATTATTGAACAAAACTGATTGAAGCCCTAGTGAAAGATTGTGACTGTGAAAATTATACATGGACAGTTGTACTTACTTAAATATAAGATAATTTCATTTTTAAAATTTGGTATTCTCATGATCTAAAGGAGTAAGATTTTAGAAAATTTCATGATAAATGCACTAGCTGGATTTAAAAGACAAGATACTACAGTTGTTACAGGTGCCAGTGTAAAGTAAATGCTAGAACACAACAAACATTAAATCTAGTTTTCTGGTATATTTGTAAGATCAAGAGTTAAAAGTACAGAATATTAATTACTGATGCCAGGCATAAACTTGAGAATTTGTCCCAGAGTATATATTAGAAGTTATTGGATTGATGAGTAAGAGAATAGTGGATAATATTTAGGATGGAGACACACATTTAAATTTATAGCTTTTCTAGTGGTACAAGGATGTGGAATATGAAAAAATGAAACAGAAACTCTAGTGAAAAAATTACTGAATTCTGATCTTTTGTACAACATTTAAATGGCTTACAAGTGATCACCTTCATTTTCACAACAAGAAAATACCAAAAAAAAAAAAAAAGAAAGAAAATCACCAACTCTTTTTTTTAAATGAGGAGATATAGTTTATTTAGAAAGTAAGTTAGAGTGAGAGAGAAAGAGGAGATTCACCTCCCCAAGATAGGGGAGGGGGCCAAAGCTTAAGAAAACATGGCCTGGCCATAGCTCAAAGAGCACATGGCCACACCACAGTTTAGCAAGGCAATGACCAACTCTTTTTAGATCCATGAGAGAATTGAAGTTACAGAGCAAACTGTTGCCCCAGAACTGGAAAGGCAGTCAGGAGATCACAGCAGGACCTCCACATCCATGGGATCCACATTCATGAATTCAATCAACCACGACTCAAAAATATTAGGAAAAAAAATAGAAAGTTGTTTTGTACTGAACATGTACAGACTTTTCCCCTTTTTATTATTCCCTAAACAATACTGTAAAACAACTGTTTACATCACATTTACATTGTCTTAGGTATCACAAGTAATCTAGAGATGAGTTAAAGTGTACAGGAGGATATGTGTAGACTACAAGCAAATACTAGACCATTTTATATAGGGGACTTGACATCCATGGACTTGGTATCCAAGGGGGTTCCTAGATCCAATCCCCCAAGGATACTAGGGAACAACTACTCTAAAAGGAACCTGGTACTGTGAAACTGTGAATCAGGTGACCTAGAAGCAGAAGTCACCAGATGGAGCCAGAATCAGAATTTCAATTACACTTCAACTGTAATTGAAAAATTGTTATAGGCTTAGTGTAGACTAACTTGAGAGTTCAAACAACCGAGAGGTCCCAGTCTTAAGGGACTCCCCACTCGTGAGTATTCCATTCAGAAATCCTACCAGGTTCTCACTGTGAAGACTGGAGAAAAATCCCATCATGCTTCCAACAGAAGGTAGTCATATAGAAATATGCTCAGAGCTCTCTATTCTCCTTAGAAAGGCCAGCTTTAAGGGGAAAGTATTTTTATCAGAGCCTAACTGACTGAGGTTTTCCCAAAGCCTAACTGACCTGGGAAAAGGAAAATGCCCAGCTCAGCCTCTGGAAGACTGTGACCTAATTATGGGGCCATAGAAATCTTCAAGGGACTATGACTAATAGAACCACAAGCCTAAGACTCCATTTAAGATGAACTCTCTAGGCAAACCCAAAGACAACAGTGGAACACTAGAAAAAATTGTGGATTCTGATGCCACAGCTGTAACAACCAGTAAATACAACTTAACTCCGAGCCAGATAAACATCAAACCTCACACTAAAAGCCCAAATACACCGTAACCAATTTAAAAGAATAGACATCACCTAAACAATGCTATCATGCTACAATGGAATTAAACTAGAAATCAGTAATAGAAATATCGCTTTAAACATCCCCACGTATTTGTAGATTAAGCAACACGCTTCTAGATAACACATAGGTCAAAAAAGATGTCATGAAATAAATTATAAAAATTAAGTTAAAAGAAAATGAAAATACAGCCTATAAAAATTCATGGGGTAAAGCAAAAGTAGTACCTAGAGGGAAATTTAGGAATTGAATACATGTATTAGAAAGGATGAGATAAGTAAAATGGATAATCTAAGCGTACACCTTTGGAAACTGAAAGAAAAGGAACAAATTAAATTCAAGGTAAACAGAAGAAAATAAATAATAAAAATCAAAGCAGAAATCAATGAAATTTAAGACTGTAAAATAATCAAGAAAAATCAATGAAGTTAAAAACTGAAATCAATAAAACTAAAAGATCAAATCAATAAAATGGATAAAGTCCAAGCCAAACCATCCATGGGAAAAAAGAAATAAGATTCAAGCTACTAATATCAAAAATCTAAGTTATCATTACTGATCACATGAAGAAATTAGGAAATATTCTGAAGTTTATGCCCACACACTTGATAAATTATTTGAAATAAACCAAATTCATAGAAATATAATTTACCTAAACTCACACAAGAAGAAGTAGACAATCCAAGTAGATATATACCAATTAAAGATATTGAATCAATGATGAATAATATTAAAAGCAAGGGTACTATATGTAGGCAGTTCCACTGGTGAATTCTACCATTTGAGAAAGAAGTGATATCAATTAACTCAATCCAGAAAATAGATACACAAGGAACATTTTCGAAGTAACTCTATGAGGCCAACATTACCATAATACCAAAACCAGGCAAAAGCATTACAAGAAAGGAAAACTATGGACTAGTATGTCTTATGAATATACATGCAAAAATGATCAACAAAATGTTATCAAACTTAGTTCAAAATAATCCATTTGTCAAAGAGGCATACTTTGGGTGGCATATTCTGGTATCCTTCACTTATTATCAATTGAACGTATTTATGTGAAATGGAATAATTGTATCAAACAAACTGCAGTGGACTTCTTACTGATGAAGGAAATTTATAAAATGGGTTGATGCTTGTTTGAGGAGTTGCTGTTCTTAGCCTCACTGCTTGTCTACACAGAGATGCGGTGAACCTGTCTTCTGTGGGTGCAGATGGCATTGTCATTGGCTACTGTCCGCAAAAGGATGCCCTGGACGAGCTTCTGACTGGCTGGGAACATCTCCATTATTACTGCAGCCTACGTGGAATTCCAAAGCAGTGCATCCCTGAGGTAAATGTCCTGGGGTTTTTCAGAAAAAGAGACCTATTTATTGAGAAATTCTTGGTGACTACCTCCAGCTGCAAGGCAGCTGTCTCGCCCTGCAAGAAGGAACCATAGTATCAGATAAACTTACCTGAAAGTTACTTTCCAATATGGTGATCCTAAAGAAAACATTTTGATATGTTTGCCTTATTCATATTATGTATTTGAAATATATCTGTATGAGAAAGGCATGTGATAGGGTAGGCATAAATCACATTATTTATAACTTTCTATCCCTTGCTCTTTTTCCCCCTCTCTAAATGGTTTTTACTTTTACTGGACTATTACTTTGTATAAACAAATATAAACTCTGTGTTATCAAGGCTTACAGAGGAAGAGGCACAGAGTATGTGTGGAATCTGGGGGGTTGTTGGAAGGGATGACTTCCTGGTAAGTGGACTGACAGATTCCTGCCAGGGGGTTCCTTTGTGGGTGGCCTTGGGAGAATAAAGGTGTGGCAGGTACTGCAGGACCCCCCAACCCATCACTGTGAGAGGAGAGAGAGGCAGGTGGAATAGGGGAGAGCCAGCAACAACCGTCACTTCCGTTGTGAGCAGTGGTCAGTGAACCAGAGCGGACAGACTTGGCAGACTGATCAGAGGACTTTGCACCAGGAGGCCACTGGAATGGCAGCTGCATCAGGCACATTTTTCCCTTTTCTGAACCTCATTAGAGAAAGACTAGGGTGCTTGCTCCCTGGATTTCTGGATGCTGAAGTGGAAGCAGAAATAAGAGGCTTATGTGATGCATTTGCAATTAGATTCTGCAGGAGATGGAACATCCTAGGACTCACAGGAGACGAAACTAATGGCCATTGCCTTCACTGGTTCATGCACATTCATTCTGTGTGCTGTTTTTATAATGCTTCGGCCTTCCTTTCTTACTTATGCTTTGTAACTTTAAGTGAAATTGAACAGAATCGCTCCACATCATTGTAGGGACCCTGGCCCCTTTACCCACCTCCAGTGGTCTTCAAAGCAAGGCAACTGACCACCCCACAGGAAACCTACTTATTGTGGTTAAACAGCTGCTGGAATTCAGAACTAACTGTTGGCTTCATCTTTAATAGGTGCTCATCGTTGTTAGAGCCCCTTTGTTAGTTTTTGATTAAAAAGGCAGATGCTTGGTGAAGGCTTTAAGCTGGGCGCTTTGTTGTTGGGGAGAAATGTGCTTATGAAAAGGCTCTCGTTAATCTAGTAAGGCGTGTTTCTTCTTCCTGTCATTCAGGGCAATTGTGTCCTGATACTTAGCTGCCTTATAACCTTGTTTTTCTAAACTGCTTCACCAAGAGCGGACAGACTTTAATGGTCACCAATTAGGAACTGTCTTCAATTCTTACATAAAACGGCAACTGATTTTGCAGACAGCATTGCTACTTTCTCTTGTTTCTGAGATGTCAGTACACTTTTACATTGTTCCCAAAGGAGTTAGTGTCTTTTTTGACAAATTTCTCTGCCCTGTAAGTTTGGGGAATATTTAAACTGCAGAAAAAACATGTCTATTTTGAGGTGCTTATGGCAAGGTAACCAGAAAATAATATTATAAAATAACAGAAAACAATAGTTTTTGCTGATGTTTCAATATTTATTCGGTGTCAGGCACTGTTCTAAGTATTTTACAGCAGCCATAGAAAGTAGATGCTTATTCCCATTTCGCAAATGGAGAAAGCAAGGTACAGAGAAATTAGGTAACTTGCCCAAGTTCACATAGCTAGCACGTGGCAGAGTTTTGTTATAAAACCAGATAAACCAGCTCCAAAATACATACTCTTGATTAAAACACTATCCTGACAGTATATTCAAGTCAGGTTTCTATTTGTGTGAGATGGAGTCCCTGGTTCCCTTTTAGCCCTATTTGCCTGAAGAAGTGGAAACCGTGGCTTCTCCAATAGGCTTCTCCAACAGGAAGCTTCTCCTGTGGATTGACTTTCTGCTGGCTGGAGTTGGGCCCAACATGTGGGCCTCGCCTTCAGGACTCCATAGATTTAGGACGTACTTTTTTCAGACGAATCTGTTATTCACGTTGGTTCTTTTCTTCAGGTTGCTTTCTATTTTCACTGTAATGTGGGCAGCTACCATTTTATCCTCCATGATTCTAGGTGGAGACCCTCTGTGCTGGCTGGAAGGGTTCTTCCCACTCAGCCGCATAGTACCGTCTCCTCCCTTCCTGGGACCCTCAGAGCCCAAGCCTGGCACTGAACTCCATTTGCACTCCAGGGCCTCCAGTTTTGCTTGAGCTTCCTGGTTATTTCTGTGTAAGGTCATGTCGCTCACTTCCTGAACCCTCCAAAAGTTCAATTGGGTGAGAAAAAAAGATGCCTCTTTATTAGACATGAATTTAGGTTTGGTAGGTTGATGTAATGATTTTCAATTTTCCCCTTCATTTGCTCTACAGTTTTGTACAGTGTACATATTTGAGCCTGTATTCAATTCACGTGGTAAAACATGTTATATTAAGTCATAACAAATTATTCAGTAGATGAGGGACACATAGTCTGGGATGCTAGAGAAAACATTTAAAGGAAGTCAATTGTGGTAGATAGTTTCAGGACTAGTGTTGTGCCAGACTACCAAATAACACTTTTAATTGGATTGAGAACTGGCAAGTTCTTCATTTTAGTTTTCTCTGATATAGAAGAAGCAGGAGCCTTTGCCATCTTGTTTTCGTTAATACCTGCACATTCCTACTAGGGAAAACTGTTACCGTGCCTTGCTTCCCATTATCTTCTCTACATGCACAACCATTATTTTTGTCTTCCATTCACACAGCCAGTTTTGCTAGAAGGATCTAGAAGTTACAAGATAAGAAGAATGGGCCTGGAGGTCATCAGAGGAGGGTCAGAAAAAAGGCCTTTCCATCTGAAATTCTTGGCTCCTTTTTCCTGAGATTTCTAACTGAATCTCAGGCTCTTGCCTTAAGCATGATACAACTTCTAGAGCTAATGGGAGAAAAATACCAAAGTGCAGAGAGAACATCTGTTAACTTAGGACATTTTGGGGTTTAGGCAGTATTTTGCCAGCCATGATTGCTAAGTCATTGCATTTGACATCATTTTGACAACAGTGCTGAGTACAGAAAAGACTGCAACAAAATACTTCTTATTGGGCCATTTTCAGTTGTTTTCTGACAACATGACATTCAGAAAACATCAGCTCAAACTGGTACATCTGTTCCTGTATATTCTAGAATCTTTCATATGGTTAACCAATCCAGGATTTGTAGGGTGCATATTTAAACCTTTTGTGAAACTGGAGAAACATGACATATGCTTCCTGATTTCATAAAAATGTATAATCATAGTTTGGTGTGTTTACTCAAAACTTCTCTTATCATTCTGTGGTGCATTTCTACAGAAGCTGGTTCTTTTGTTATTTGCTTTGTTTATCAGCTTTCATTTATGTTTTTGCTAATCTTTGAATAAAATGAATGAGAGTAAAACAAAATATTATTTATTTATTTTATTTTATTTTTTAGATTTTTAAAAATTATTATAAAGATGTAGGGTACGATTCAGGGTTAGGTATACAAACATTGATTATGCAGGTACCCTTGTTAATGAGGTCAAAATTTTATTCATAACACACACATAGACATACATATTTTCATTTTGGGGGGTAATTTTAATTAATATAAAATAATCAAAACTATTTTTTCATCTTGTCAGTTTTACCAGTCTCACTACTATTAGTATGGCAGGGACTCAAATAAGTAATCATTCAATGTTGTTTGATTATATTAATAATGAGAAAAATAAAATCAATTTCCAGCTAGGGCTACTGTCTGTGGGGAGGTTGTGCATTCTTCCTGTCTTGGTGGATTTTCTCCAAGTATTCTGATTTCCTCCCACATCCCAAAGCTGTGCTTGTTGACTTCACTGGTGTATCCAAGTTACCCCGGGCTGAGTGAGCATGGGGGGCTGAGTGAGTGTGCCCTGCAATGGGATGGCATCCTGTCCAGGGTGATGTCCTGCTATGTGTCCTGCATTATGGGGTAGGCTCTGGTCACCCATGACCCTAAACTAGAGGTTCTGTCCAAAAACCTACTGATGATGTTAATTAAGAACTTACTGTGTTTGCTTTTTTTCAGAAAGATGAAGTTTCCTCACAAGGTCTGCCATGCTCAGGGTTCCTTCTCTTTTATGGGGAAATGTGCCTCAGCCTGTCTGGTTTACTTCCTTATGAAGTTCACCCAGGTCTGAATCACTTTTTGGTAGTTCCTCTCTATAGAAAATTTGGATACTTTACATATTAATACATCTATTATCTCTATAATTTCTGCAATGCTAGGCATTATATTTCTTCATCTAGGTAGCTCTTCCATTAATATTTGTTTGCTTGTTTTAAATAAAAAATGTTTTGTTTGCCTATTTTTATTTATTTAAATAAAATGGTATTTAATTTATGTTCATTGAAATAACTGGACTGAATGAAACCAGGAAAAAGGATGAGTCATATAAAACAATCTGGGAAAAATGATTTTACTGTTTTCAGTAAGAACTAACTACTGACGCTGAAATAACTTTCTTTGGCAGACAGCAGCAGATTCAAGATATCATCTTCATGAATCTTTTAGGTCTTAAAATCTACATTTCCTTGAATTTGACCACAAGAACAGTTCTTGTGTCTCTTAATTAATTTTCCAATATATAGGGTTGATGCTAAATTCGTAGCATTTTTTGCTTGCCCATGGAATACAGATGTGGCATGATGGTTGAGTGGTCACAGTTCATCACATTTGTCAGTTCCCAGGTTGACTAGCGTAGATCATTTTGGATTAAAGTGTTTAAATGATCTTCATCAAAGCCCAGGGGTCTTCCTGCGCGTGGAGAATCACTCAGGTCAAAGTGGCCCTCTTGGTAACGACAAAACCATTATCTTGCCGTGCTTTCCTTGATGACATTGTCCCTGTACACGGCACAACTGTTTCGAGCTGTCTCTGTTTCCTTTGCTCCTCGATTAAACTCAAACAGAAGAGTATGTTGGAAGTGTTTGGGTTTTCGTTGTTGTTTTGTACTTGACACTCCATCTTATTTAGCCTACAGAGAGCACTCAATTTCTTCAGATCTGCAAAATGCAAGGTATATTCACAAGCACAGCATTGTCACTCCAAATGACAAATCCCAACGTTGCAGTGTTGCCATGACAAAACAAATACTGTGAACTTATGCATCAACCTAATATTTTGAGGATGCACAAATAAAGTAATAGAAAAATTTCCGTTGAAAGTTTCTGTAGGGAGACAAAATTACTATCCTAATACTTTTAGATGTTCTTAACACTTTGTTGCCATCATTAGAAGTATAATCCTAACTTGTATTATTTGTCAAAAATGTATATATATTAGTTTAAAGCTATATTTTATTTAGTTATTAATCCATTTTCATAGTTGTATAGAGAATTTTTTCTCTTCTCCTGAATTTGAATTAACATATAATCTTGGTCAGTTCTATTGTATGATGATTTCTGAAAATTGAATCTATATTAGTACCTCTAAGGTCACAAGAGTTAAACACAACTGTAAAATTTATAAATTAGTTGTTTAATTTGGGCCCCAAGAGGAACAGATACAGCCTAGAAGACCTGACTGGAAACAGAAAACATAGTGTGGTGCAAATTACAGTGGAAAGTGCTGAATAAAAGTGTTTTATTGACAAATGCAATACGCAGAAGAAGGGACAGTTATCTTTCCTGAGGAAAGATACAAGAAGGACCTGGGCCCTCAAGGATGTGTGAGCAGGTGGTCGGTTGATGGTAGGAAAGAATAACAGAGCTGTTAGCATGAGCCACTTGGGTAGTCAAAATGCTGCTGTGACTGCAGGTGTGAGGTTTGTGAATACTGACACCATTTTGGGGACCTGAAAACATGGATTTCACCCTCTGAGTGTGTAAACTCTAAGAGTAGCTTCTCAATATCAAGGGGATAGTTATTTCTTTGGTTAATATTGAAAATTTCCTCTAATTCTCTCCTCTCTTGAAGTTTTGACACCTCTCTCTTTTGTTTCATTCCCATTCATTTCCTTCCCCATCTTCCTTTTGGCTGACCTTTCTCGGCTCGCCTTAATATGAATACTCACCTGGATCCAGCCTTGAGTCTGCATTTCTTGTCCATCCTGCTCCCTGAGCTCCAAAACCAAACATTCTGACCACAGTTAGATGCCTCCAGCCACAGAAAACTCCCTCTGTTTATTCGCAATTAGCTCCTATAACAAGGAAGGGGATGTTTCAGGTGTATTTGACTGTATGTGTGAGGGTGGGCAGGGGTAGTGGGAGAGAGAGGAGCCAGAGCCAGGGCTGAGACCCAGGGGTCTGATGGGCACCATAGTGAATGGTGATGTGATCATGAGCATTCCTCTCTTCCAGGTGGCAGCAGACCTCGTGAAGCGCTTACACTTTGAAGCCCACGCGGACAAACTTGTAGCCACCTACAGTGGGGGAACCAAGCGGAAACTCTCTACAGCCCTGGCCCTGGTGGGGAAACCTGACATTCTTTTGTTGGTGAGTAGTGGAAATATCAGGAATTTGCCAATGTCTTGAAGATACACATTGCATGTATATTTGTAAATTGATTTTATAAGAGTTCTTCTAGAAATTAACTCAAGAACTTCCAAATCTGGTTCTAGGAACTAGTAAATTGGTTTGTCCAAACAAAATGGAGCATATCATTGGAATTTTACAGAAATAACACATTTAGGAGGGGGAACTCCAAAAAACCCAGAATTTACCTACAAAAAATTGTGTATTCTTACATGTTTAAACTTCAGTTACCTTCAATATACTCTCTGTTTCATGCAGTATACTTGTTGAGCTGCTTTTTCAACTGCTCAAAACAGTTTTTGAACTCTTCAATTTTGTTGCTTCTTAGTGCTTCTGCCACTGATGTTAGCAAAATGTTTTCCTTTGAGGACTTTTTTCTTCCAGGGAAAGAAAATAAAAGTTGCTTGGGGTGAGATCAGGTGATTAGGGAGTATGGGGCATGGGGGTCATGCTGTTTCTAGTCAAAAACTGCTGAACACTCAGCGCAGTATTTGGGCAGGTGCACTTGTAAGTCACTCATCATAAAATGTGCAAACTCATTGAAAGAATCTGAAAAAAAAAAAGAAAAATCACCAAAGCCAAACAGCCTCTCACAAACTAGTAGCTGGTATACACTGATGCCAAGGGTTTCTGGAACACTTGTCTAGTGGGGGAAGCTTGAACTACAAGGGGCACACACTCCAAAAGATAATTTTATTTTGGGGGGATCCACCCCTCATATCATTTGTGTTTTAATTTTAAATGTTTTATTTTAAAAATATGGGGTATAATTCAGGGTTCGGTATACAAATGTTCATTATGCAGGTACCCTTGTTGATGAGATGTTTCCCCCCCTCCCCTGGCAGTTTCCCTCAACTACCAATTCCCCCTCCCTCGCCTGGCAGTTTTCCACCACAGTCAATCACTTTATTATAGTATTATGATAATTGTTCAAGATTCACTCATGAGTGAGAACATATGGTACTCTGTTCTTTGTTTCTGTATTGGATCACTGAGTATGATAGATGTTAAATCCATCCAAGTTGCTGCAAAGTGCATATGTTTGTCCTTCTTCATGGCTGCATAATATTCCATGTGTATATATACCACATTTTTTTTATCCAGTTCAACTTTAGTGGGCAGCTTGGTTGGTTCCATGTTTTTGCTATTGTGAATAGAGCCACAAGAAACGTGTGTGCAGGTATCTTTTTTGTAGAATGATTTGAATTCCTCTGGGTATTTTCCCAATAGGGGGAATCTTGGGTCATATGGAAGGTCAATTACTTGTTCTTTCAGAAATTGCCACGCTGTCTTCCAAAGAAGTTGCACTAGTTTGCACCAGCAGTGTAGAAGCATTTCTTTTTTTCTGCATCCTCACTCGCATCTATTGTAGTTTGTTTTATTAATGATGGCCATTCTCACTGGGATTAGGCAGTATCTCAAAGTGGTTTTCATTTGCATTTCTCTGATGATTAGTGAGAGACTAAGCACTTTTCATGTGGCTGTTGGCTGCCTGTATGTCTTCTTCTGAGACTTCTGTTCATGTCTTTTGCCCACTTTTTTAATAGGGCTGTTTTTTTTTTTTGGTTTGTTTTGTTTTTCTTTCAGCACGTTTGAGTTCCTAGATGGATCCTAGATGTTAGGCCTTTGTTAGGTATAGAGTTGGCAAATATTTTTTTCCCATTCCGTGGGCTGTCTCCCTGCTCTCTTGATGGTTTCTTTTGCTTTACAGAAGCTTGTTGGTTTGATGAAGACCCACTTGTCTATCTTATCTCTTATGCCATGAGCACTTGGGGTTTTGATCAGGAATTGGTTGCCAGTTCCAATTGCTATAAGGATGTCTCCTGCATTTTCTAAGGTTCTTATAGTTTGAGGTTTTACATTTAGGTCTTTGATCCATTTAGAGTTAATTTTTGTGTATAGTAATATGTAGGGGTCCTATTTCCATCTTCTGCATGTGATCAGTTTTCCCAGCACTGTTTACTGAATAGCTTCTCCTCTCCCCAGTTGTTGTTGTTGGAGGCTTTATCAAAGATGAGTTGTTTGAGAAATCGAAGCTTTGCTTCCGGAATCTCTATCCTGTTCCATTGGTCCGTATGCCTGTTCTTGTACCAATACTAAACTGTTTTGATTATTGTAGCCTTATAGTAAAGTTTGAAGTCTGGAAGTGTGATGCCTCCTGCTTTGTTTCTTTTGCTAAGGATTATTTTGTCTATTTGTGGTTGTTTGTGTAATCACCTAAGGGAACTGGAAAGGCAAGACCACCAAAACCCTAACTTTAGCAGAAGAATCCAGATCACCAGAGTTAGAGCCCAAATACGGGACACAGAAGACAAAAATATAGAAACCATCAACAACAATGAAAACTGGTTCTTTGAAAGTATTTACAAGATTCTTGGACCCCTAGCCAGAATGATCAAGAAAAAGAGAGCAAAACCCCAAATAAATACAATCAGAAAAGAAAAGATCAAATCACAACTGACCCAGAAGAAATACAGGAGACTGTTAGAGATTACTATGCACACCTGTATGGAAACAAGCTTGATAACCTAAATGAAATGGAGGACTTTCTGACATCACACAACCTCCCAATATTGAAACAAGAAGACATTGAGACAATAAATAGACCAATTTCCCCTAGAACCAGAACAAGACAAGGCTGCCCACTTTCACTCTTCTTCAACATTGTGTTGGAAGACCAAGCTAGAGCAATTAAACAAGAGAAGAAATTCATGGGTATCCAGATAGGAAAGGAAGAAGTTAAGTCATCTCTCTTTGCTGATGATGTGATCCCATACTTTGAAAATCCAAGAGAATCTGTCAAAAACCTGCTTTCATTGAATACGGACTTTGGCAAAGTCTCAGCATACAGAATAAATATGCAAAAGACAGTTGCATTCTTATACACTAACAACAGCAGACAGAGAACCAAATAAAAAGCACAATCCCATTGAAAATAGCCACCCCCCAAAAAGAGAAATCCCTTGACATCTTCCTAACCAGAGAAGTGAAAGACCTTTACAACAAGAACTACAAAACACTGCTCAAAGAAATCCAAGAAGACACAAACAAATGGAAAGATATTCTTTGCTCATAGATAGGAAGAATCAACATTGTTAAGATGTCTATCCTGCCAAAGGCAATCTACAGATTCAACGCAATACCCATTAAAGTACTAACATCATTCTTCTCAGACCTGGAAATGATAATACAGAAATTCATATCTTTTGAAAGATTTGCTCATATTTGTCAAGTTGAAAATTCAATACAATTTTAACATTGAAACAGTATTTTAAGAGAATATTAGAATTCACCTGTAATCTGAAAGTCGGTTGTGCTTGTCCTCTAGTGTGTTGCTTGAAGTCTTTTTCTCTCTGCAGATATGTGTTTATCATAGTGGTAGGGACATTCATCATGGTGAATTGTAAGGATGGGTATTGGATGCAGGGTGGATATGGTTTGGGTGGTAGGGATCAAATTCCAGCAAGAGCCTGGAGCATGGGCAATGGCCTTGAGACAAGGTGGTCTGTAACTGAGCCAGGAACTGCAGTTAATTTGGTTTGACTTGATCAAAGCATTAATTGGAGGTAACAATGTCAAGAAATATAGTCAATCGTCTTGCAATTCAAAAGTAGTTGTGATAACATGTGATGCGTTTTAGATAATAAATAAATAAAGGTGAATGTTTCTTGTCATAGATGGGATTCTGAACACTAGCAGATACTACAGGGCTTTACATTGGTAAAATGTCTGGGGGCATCAAAAAGTGTGGGAAACAAAGCAGATCCTTTTTTTCCTGTCCTTGTTTATCAAATAAAAACAGCCTTTCAGTGGGGGAGTAAATGGGAATTCAGGTCTGTGTTGGAAAATGGTTTCATTATTTACTAGTTGTCTCCTGGACACTCACCAGAATACTTATTGTACTTGCTGTAAGTTTGTCTTGGCATGTTCTAAATCATGGTTTTCAGATTACAGGTGATAATAAGGACTATTGTTTGCACAGTTATGCCATTTACAGACTATATTTCCTTTTCAAGATGAGACAGAATTGTGTGACCCAATAACAAGATGTGGGTGTTCATTGCCTCCCCTTGAATGTCCCTTTGCCCAGCCACTCACAGTATGTCGCCTCTGTCGGATGAAGGGGCTACTTACTGTTCTCGAGCCATGTCTCTAGCTCACTGCAGACCCTGACTTGCTTTTTTGTGCATCTTTGTTCTCGGCTCCACTTGGATGCCCAGGAGTGTGGCATAGTGATAAAAATGGAGTCTCTGGGATGCAACTGACTAGATTCAGATTCTGCTTTTGCAGCTCCCTGGCATGTGGCCCTGCATATTTTATGTCCACTTCCTCCTCCTCTAAAAATGATCCTGATAATAGCATCTGTCTCATGGAACACTGAAAGCAGCAAATGGAATAACCCACATAAGCATATAGCCCAGTGCCTAGCACGCGGTAAGCTAGAATGACCATTAGTGACTGTGATGATGGTGACTGTTCAGAGCATCAGGTTAAAGAGATCCATTTCAGGGCCTCTGGAGTTATCCACAGGGAGACTAGAAGTGACTTTCAGAGCTGACAGCAAGGCAGGAATCAGGAAAATATAAAATTATATATGCATTACTGAACAATGTATGATCATACCTTTTATATACTTATTTTTATAACTGGTACAATATTGCTTGATTTGCAGAAAAGACACACAAGTATTTATTTCCTCATCTACTTCTTTTCTGTTTCTTTCTTTAGAGCAGTTTATGACTCTAGGTTCTTAAGAAATATATGTTTCGAACTCTCTGACTACAAAAAGCACAGAAATACTTCACGCAGTATAGCAAGAATTCTCTCAAAAGTGGTTCAAATGAGAAATGCTTTGGTGTTTATTGAAGGAGAAAGCTTCAGTTTCCAAGAAATATCAATTTATTTGATGTTGCTAAATAAATGAAGCCTTTTTCTGCAATCATATGTCTTCTGAGGGGATA